GTCACCAATCAGAGTCTGTATTCCCATTGGGTCCCAGCCTTCGAAGGAGGTTTGCCCTGAGGGGACTCGACCACTTGCTTTGATGTCTCTTGGGTGAGCAACTTGTTTGTCCTTGTAGTAATCAGTGGATCTGCCTTTATTGTTTTGTATCTTTCCTGTCCGTCTTTCTTTCAGGAAGTATCTTCTGTTCTTCTGGCTGCTCCAGGCTGGTCTGTTTGTCCTTTCAAGTGGAAATTTCCCCTCAGAAGATTCTGGATGCTGTTCAGGAATCCATCTATGCACTTGTGTAATACAGAGACTCTGCAGGAAGCCTCCCTCACTGGGCACATTGTAGCCCCATTTTAAGTATTCCAATTAGTTATAGGCAGAAGACGGACTTATAAGCTTTCTATGGTGATATTTCCGGCTATTCCTTTCTCTCCCCCTCTAGGGTCTATTTTATAGTGGTATGACAGGGAAACCAAGATTCAAAAGACAGCCAAGCATCTTAACATTGTTTACCCCTTTTCCCTATTCCAACCATTATCTTGATATATTGTTTTTCACTTTTCCACCCTGTGATTTTTAGTCTGTTCCTGTCTCTGTGTATAAGATGTGTATCTTGTAAACAGCATATTGAAGGATCTTGTTTTCTTATCCATTCTGCTACACTCTGTCTCTTGACTTGTTGTTGTTAAGTGCCGTCAAGTCATTTCTGACTCATTGCGATTCTATATAGGGTTTCCAAGGAGCGGCTGGTGAGTTTGAACCGCTGATCTTGTGGTTCAAACTGACCCTGCAATCCAGAAAATTAACCTGCAGCAGCTGGTGCATTTAATTCATTTACATTCAGTGTCATTATCTATAGATATGAAGTGATTGCTGTCATTTTGCTGTGTATGTTTTTGTGATGCTACTGATATCTTTGTTCCACATAATTTTCTGTGTTGATTTCATTTTGATTGTGTTCTTTCTTTTCACTTTCCTCATCTCTGTTGTCTTAGTGACTACTAAATCGTTCTGATTCTCCCCTCTTGCTCTTTTCTTTTTTTTGATGTGAAGGTATACTCACTCTCTTTAAGATTACATTGTAACTTACTAAATTTACATCTCTTTTTGCTTTGTAGTTGACTTCATTATAAATTTGTATCTCTGGTTCCCTTTATTCAGTGTTGTAGTTTTTTTTTTTTATTACTTTAAGTACTTCTATGTGGATGAGTCAGAAATTATCTGCACTCTTTGGTCTCCTGAAAGCAGCCCCTAAAAAATGAAGATTCACCTCTGATGAAGAAGTGAAGACAGTGGTGCATTTGTGGCTCTCAGCTCAGTCTAAAACATTTTTAAATAAGAGAATACAAAAGTTTGTTGACAGATGGACAAAGTATATTGAAAATCAAGGAGATTATGCCAAAAAATGATGTACTTGCCTTTTTAAAAAGTTGATTAAAATGGATTCTACAGCCAGAGTGCATATAATATTTGACTCACCCTCATATTTTAATGCCTTCTAATGTGAGAAGCTCAATTTCTGGCACTGTATCTGACAATATTCTAATGCTAGTCATAATGTTTTCATCTTCTGGCACTATATCTGGCAATGTTCTCCTGCTATTCGTAAGATTTTCAGTGGCTAAACAGTCAGAAGTATTTTGCCTCTCCTTCCTAGTTTATCATAGTCTGGAAGCTCCACTGAAACCTGTCCACTATGGATGATTCTTCTGGTATTTAAAATACAATTTGCATTTCTTCCAGTATCCCAGCAACATGCAAAGCACCACAGAATGACAAGCAGACAAGTGGTACATTGACATCATTGTAGTTGCTAAAAGCCGTAGAGTTGGTTCTGACCCATAGCAACCCTGTATAGGGTTTCTGAGGAGCAGCTGGTGAGCTTGAACCACTGACCTTTTGGTTCAAATGACTTTGCAGTCCAGTGCATTAAACCAGGACTCTGGATTGGCATCATAGAGAATAGGATTTACAACACACAGAATGATTACATCATATTACAAACTGTAGGATGATTACATAATACTGAGACATGTGGTCTAGCCATATTGCTACAAATTTTGGAGGGACACAATTCAATGCATTACAATATCACTCAACATTTTCCAATTCAGCTTTTACAGTTTTATAACATACTGACATCAATTACATTAAGCAGCTGTGCAAACCTTGCCCTAAATCCATGTGATTTTTCCACCATGATACACTGAACACCAGTGCTTCATAAGCAATAGCGTATTCATTTTTCCTTCCTTTCACCATTCAAAACCACCTATAAACTTTGATCTCTATAGACATTTTCCTGTTCTTCACATATTTTTTTGTTTGTTTGTTTAATTATTCCAACCATCTAATGCAGAGTCAGTATAGAGTAGTGGTTAAGAATATGGACTCTAGATACAGGCTTCTGTATCACTTGATGGCTCTTTTGAGTTTGGGCAATTATTTTCCTCATCTGTAAAATACATTGATAATTGTACCAACTCCATAGTGTTGCTATAGAGAAAATAAGTTAAAATTTGTAAAGCATTTAGTACCCGGAACTGTCATGTGATTTGTATATAAATGTTCTGAGCATTGGCATAGATGCTTCCAATTTGACAGGTAACAATAACAACTATTGCTAACGGGTCCCAAACAACCATCAAGTCTAGCCAAGTTTACTTCCTAAATGTTTTGGAGACCCTTATTCTTATCTCCTTCTCTGCTTCTATTACCCTAATTTAGTCACTGTGATACACAACAACAGCAATTGTCTGAACACAAACTCTACTTAGTGTGCTTCCTTATTTCAATTATCTTTACTTTTCATGGATCCCCTTTCTTTGCTTAATTCATAACTCATTCTCTAATAAGCAGTATCTTCTCCCACAGGAAACTTTCACTCTCTCTCTTACTGCCTTGCTTGTCTCTATCATTATCTATCTATAGACTATGAACACCTTAAGAGCAGAAACTGTCATTCTCTGTGAATTTTCAGGATCTACAGCAGTTCCTGGCACAAAGAAAGTACTCAATAAATCTTTGCTTAACTAATGAATATTTGGACTCCTATTGTGGTGCTGTAGGTTCAGGACCGGACTGAGAACCACAAGGTCAGCAATTCGAACCCACCAGGTGCTCCGCATAACCCTACACAGAATTGCTATGAGTCAGAACCAGCTCTGAGTCTGAACTGCATTTAACAACAACAAAAATAATGAATACCTACTATGCCCCATGCATTACATAGTAGTTTATTGAGTGGTGTGGAGATTCATTCAACCCTACAAAAAAGCCCTATTTGTTAGTAAATGATATTATCACCATTTTACAAATAAGAAAATTGAGGCTTAGACAGGCTAAATAGCTTGCGCAGATACACCTATTAATATTCCTATGGTTCTTCTAGCACTGGATCACAAGGTCAGTTTGAACCACAAGGCGGAAACCCTAGACAGGGTTGCTATGAGTCGGGACCAACTTGACAGCACAACACCCTGGTGGTGTTGTGGATTAGGCATTGGACTGCTAACCAAAAAGTCGGCAGTTCAAAGCCACCAGCTGCTCTAGGGGAGAAAGATAAGGCTGTCTGCACCATTAAACTCTATACAGTGTCACTACAGAGTCGGAATTAACAGAATGGCAGTGGGTTTGGTTATGACTGTCTGATTCATTATGCAAATATCTGCATTTTATAATGGCACACAGCAGTTGAATATGCCAGGCAACAATAGAGATCATATGATGCATGAAGATATAATATTCTTTTGGCCAATTAAAAGGTAATTTTAATTTTACTTAGTTTGTTCTTAGAGTATTTTTCATTATATAATCTGTAATCTTTTATAAAGGTAAAAATAAACATATTAAAGGAGATGGAAAAAATTGGGGAGCAGTTAATAATGATGGCTGAGCAACATGATGAGCATGTTTAATGCAGCTGAACTATACATGTGAAGATTGTTGAAATAGATACCTATATATCTTCTACAGTAAAAATGTATTTAAAATCCACATAATTAACAATTTGGTTATTTCTTAGGAAAATCTACTGATTTGTGAATGCACTGGATGCTCTACTTTAATCCCATCATAGGTCAGACTCGAGAGCTTTGGCCAATGTCTTTTACATTATCATTTAAAGGCTTTCATGGAAAACCAAATTTGTTCCACATCATTGAAATCATATAACTCTATGACAGTTAGAAAAGGTTTTATAGTAGAAGTAAAGTAGAAGTAGCAGCAGCAACAGAAATCATTTACTGTGTATCAACTGCGTGCTTTTTCAGTGAATCAACGGCACTTTAAAACAACAAACAGCAACCATTAAAAAGTAGTCCACCTCTCCTTCTTCTGTTTTAATCTTCATTCTCCACTGAAAACTGTCCACCATGGATGAACCTGCTGGTATTTACAATAATAGTGGCATAACTTCCAACATCACCGCAACACACAAGCCACCACACTATAACAGACTTACAGATGGTTGTAGATCCACAATCAGTGCTCATGGTAGCAACAGTCAAGAACTCAAATGACACATTGCATTAAACAAATCTGCTGCAAAAGACTTCCTTAAAGTGTTCAAGATAAAAAATGTCAGTTTGAGGACTAACGTGCTCATGACCCAAGCCATAGTATTTTCAATCATCTCATATGCATGTGAAAGTTGGATAATGAATAAAGAAGACCTTAGAAGAATAAATGCATTTGAATTATGGTGTTGATGAAGAATACTGAATGTCCTGTGGACTGTCAAAGAACAAAAAAAAATCTGTCTTAAAAGAAGCTAAGCCAGAATGCTCCTTAAAAGTGAGGAAGAACGTTGTCTCTCATAATTTGGACATATTATCAGGAGGGACCAGTCCCTGGAGATGGACATCATGCTTGGAAAAGTAGAGGGTCAGGGAAAAAGAAGACTCCAAACAAGATGGATTGACACAGTAGCAGCAAAGATGGAATCAGACATCACCATTGTGAGGATGGTGCAGGTCTAGGCAGTGTTTCCTTCTGTTGTACATAGCATCACGATGAGCCTTGACTGTGCTGTGAGTTTTAAATGCATTATCACATTTAAGTACTGTTTTGTCCTTTTCTTTATTTTTCCAATGAGGAAACTGGGACTTACAGAATTTAACTCACTTGCTTGAGGTCACAAAGCTATTAAATAGTGGAACCTGGACTGAAACCCAAGTTTGTATGTCTCTAAATCTCATGCTGGAGTTTGAAGACTGCCCAAGTTACTTAACTCGCTCATAGCTTCAGTTTCCTCATTTGTAAAACTGAGGGAAATAACACTTATCTTGTAGGGTTGCTATGAAGATTAGAAGTAATATATTCTCAGGGCCTAGCAGACCTGATAATAGTGTAGTGGATTAGGAGCTGGGTTGCTAACCTCAAGGTCGGTAGTTTGAATCTACTAGTTGCTCTGGGAGAGAAAGATGAGGCTTTCTGTTCCCTTAAAGATTTACAATGGACTCCTGGTGTGGGGTCCTAGGATAAGCACTGGACTTCGAACCACAAGCTCAGAAGTTCAAACCCACCAGCTGCTTCTCGGAAACACCACACAGGGTCACTATAAGTCAGTACGGACTCAACTGACCACACTTAATAACAACAGCAGCACATAGTAGGCATTTAAACCTTGATGATTTTTAAGCATAAGAGGGATGTTAAATGGGCAGAACATGGTCTTTGATCCCTTGAAAGGCATTGGGGCACCAGAGAAAAGAGATCTACAGCTTTGGCAAGAGCTGGACCTCTCCCCTCCAGAATACAGTGACCCAATGAAACTCGGAGCGACCAGCAGGAGAGGGGGCAGGGGCCAGAATTTGGCTCCAATGGCCTCTGCAGGGAGTCGGGAGAGAGGCGGGCAGCTGGGAGGGGCATAGAAATCCCAGTTGTCAGAGGACTGCAGGTGGCCGGCAGAGTTGGTGTAGGTGGGCTCTCACGGCCTGTGGAAGGGAGGGGAGAAGGTTGAGGCTGGCCGGCGGGCGGTCTGGGGACTGAGGGAGGCGGGGCCAGAGCAGGAGAGGCTGTCCATAGCCTGCTATTCCCATGCCGGGCAGTTTGCTGCATCTGGAGGAGCTCACTGGAGAATCTCCAACAGCAGAGCGGGTCTTCAGCTACCGTAAGTACCTGCAAATGAGCGCATGGTCCAGTGGCTGAAGATTAAATACAGCCACCAGATCCTAAACAAAACCCAAACAAACCCCGCCCCCCCCAAAGTCTCCCTGTTGTGATTAATTGCTGTAAATTAAACTGCTCCCCAGTCTGCCCCTCCACCCCTTTCATCACTCCTTTTCTCCTTTCCTCTCTGGCTCCCAGCCCTGCCTCCCTGAGAATCTTCAGACACTGTAGATATCTTCTCTTTTCCTTCTCAGTCTTCCCTCCAAACCCTCAGTGGTGCATGTACCCGGCACCCAGCCCAGCGGGGCCCAACTCCTTTGATTTCTAGAGCTATGCAAGGTCAAGCCATTAGACATTTCGGGTCTCAAAAAGCACTGTGGCTCTGCTTAGGGGTGGGGAGAGTGTTGGGGGTGGATAGAAAGAGAGGGTAAAATGGCTTGAGAACTGAGCTTGGGGGTGGGTAAGGGGTGTGAAAGACCAAGATGGGCGTGGCCAGTTTCCCTCTTCTGTTCTGAAGTTTGGAGGTGCTTCTTGGGCATAAAATTCAGTAATGTGGTTGCATATAAGTGGTTCAGTTTCCTTAGTGATTGGGGAGGGGTCAGCTGATCTGACTCCATTCAAACCCTCAAGAGGCAAAAGCCCTAGAATTTGTTCCCAAGAAGTAAAGCTGGAACTTCAGATGACATTTCCTGTGTGAAATCCCAGGTGGAACCTTTCCCTTGGCAGTATAACCTGACTTCCCCAGTAAGTCTTGGCCCAAAGCCTCAGAGCAACAAAGCAACAGGGTAGATGAACAAAGCTTAGGCCTGACCTGAGAAAAGTGGAGCCAAGGGGCTATGAGAGCTGAGATGAAAAGAGCATCTTTAGTATCTTATACCAGTTTGATTGCCCCCCTTCGGGGAGACTAAAACAACAGCCCCTTTTATGAAATGGCAACTATATTCCTGGCACTGTGCTTCACTTAATACAACATAACCACAATTCCAGGTACATATTGAGCCCTGGTATGGTGCTATAGGATAAGCACTTGACTTCTACTACAAGGTCGGCAGCTAAAATCCACCAGTTGTTCTCAGAAACCCTATACCGAGTGGCGATGAGTCTGAACTGATTCAACAGGCATGCAACAACAAAGGGTGCCTATTTTTTCCCCCATAAATAAAGTTTAGAAAGGATAATTTGATTATACTTCAATGAAAAGTGAGAAATACAGACTGGAGCTGTGACTGCCCTGCTGCTTCTTGCAACCCAGGTATTTTCAAAATGAATCCTATCCTCTTCTATCTCCTGTACCCAACCCAATATAGGCACTGCAGTTAGTGGTTGGAGTTCTAGGATCAATTTGGAGAAGTGAAAGCAGCCCCTTTCTCTGTTCTGGGAGCTGCCTCTATCCTACTCTCCTGAAGTAGGGACTAAATTCCTGAAGGCAGCCAGGACCTCAGCCTCTGAATAAAGAGCTAGTGGCAGAGTTTATATATGTTGGGACTACACTTTTATTTAGCAAAAATATTCCCAAGGTCGAACAAAAATGTGGGGCCTACTTTATGTACCAGAGTATGGTGGCTTTAGAGGATAAGCGCTGTACTGTAAACCCCAAAGGTTGGCAGTTTGAGCCCATCAGCCCTTCCAATGGAGAAAGATGAGGCTTTCTACAAAGATTTTCAGTCTGGAAAACCCTATACAGGATTGTTATGAGTTGGAACTGACTCGAAGGCTCTTAACAACAACAATCTTATGCACATGCAAGGCCTATAGTTGCTCGTGATTTCCAGGAAAATGTGAAGGCATCATTGAACTAAAAAATTCACTACACTCTCTGAGATCCAACCAATTCCATTTTCCTTATAGGTAACAAACAAAACTGCTTGGAAGATAAAGAGCAGTCAATAAATAAATCATGTACACCTTATATGAATTAGTGCAAGCAGTTTGATTTACTTACACCTACTTGAGATGGAGTTATTGAGCTTATAGAGATAAGAGATCAAAATGACCATAACATAGAATCTTAAGCAGTCCACAGAAATGAAGGCCTGAATGAGATGAGATGAGAGGGGTAGGGGAGGGTGAGGAAGGCGGTATATGCTGCCTCTGGAAGCATAAATAGTGGTTTAAGCATAAGTGTTTCAGACCTTTATTTGAATTTTGACTATGATATTTAATATTGGATCTTGCATAAGTCATATATTATTTTTAAGGCCCAATTTTTCCTGTCAGCAAAATGGGGTGTAGGAAAATAGAAAAGGTTTGAAAAGGTGATTCCTTGTACTTTCCATCTATCCTGTCCCAGGGGGGCTTCTGCAGGTTTGAATTAGGTAGCCCTCTGGGCCTCAGAGATTCCTGGGACAAAGAGGCATTTCCACAAATATGACACCTTAGATATCTGTAACAAACTTGGGTGGGAGGATCAGGAAGTGGAAAGAAAGCTCAAGACAAGAGAATAGGAGGAAATAGTGTAACACTTTGTGTGGCTGTGAGTGGATAGAGGATGTTATGACCCTGTATAGGGTTTCTGAGGAGTGCCTGGTGAGTTTGAACTTTGCAGTCAAGTGTTTATCCTATAGTGCCACACCAGGAGGTTGCCAAGTACAGTTTAGTTATTTAAACAAAATTTTAAGGAGCAGGAAAAGTCCCCTGAGTAAGCACAACTCTGTTTTTTAGATCACATCACCTGCAGAAGGGAAAAGCCCTTCAAGACTCAAAGCCCACAGTGAACACCAGAGGCCCATAACCCTCAACAGCCCAGAGGAGGGGGCCACCATGCTGCAGACATGCACTATCTTGCTCTTCTGCCTTCGTGAGTACAATGAAAGGGTGAGGGGGCAAATAACCCAGTAATAGGGATAAGGAAGTAGGGAGCTTGGAGATGAAAAAGAGAGATTCAAGGTTTGAGGGTTAGCATCGGGTAGGTAGGGAGCTTTCCTTTACCATAAGCTCTCATTGCAGGGCTGAATCAGGATATGACATGTATGGGTAAGTATGGCCTGTTTCCTGAGTTATATTTCCTCCTACAGTCTCTAAGGCATTAAGTCTGCCTCTATGACCTTGGATATTGCCTTGATACCCCAGGGACAATTCTTAGATTAAGCTGATTGGGAATCAGAGTGCTTTATTCATGACTTGGTTTCCCATAGAATAGTAAAAAGTTTTATCTCAGATGGAAAGGAAACCAGACTTTATTCCCCATCTCACCTGAATTTCTTGAACAAACATCCTGTGGTCCCTAGACACTCTTATACCTAAGGGGAGGTAAAAAGAGGAATCTGAGTTGGGGTTAATTTTAAGGAACATAGGGTTAGTACCTTGTGTCTTGTGGGAGGGAGAGGGTTTGACTACTCACATCTTTGTGGTCTTTAGAAATGACAGTGGTGGAATCTCAACCAGAGCTGTGGATAGAGACCAACCATCCTCAGTCCCCTTGGGAGAACATCACACTCTGGTGCAGAATTCCCTCTGAGATATATAGTAAGTCCTTGCTGTTGAAGGGTAAGACACAGATAACTTTGGTCTGGCCTGCCTACAAGACCTTTCAAGCTTCATTTTCCACAGATGACCTTATTAAGTCCAATACAGGTCGATACAGATGCTGCTACTGGCAGGAGATGGGCTTCTCAGAACCCAGCAGAATTCTAGAGTTGAAGGCACCAGGTAAGAAGAGACAGATACTTAAGAGTAAATGCCAGCTCTGGGACTCAAACCTGTCATCCCAGGACAGGGTTTGTTTCATTCATTCATTTGTTTACCTCAAGTACATGCATGCATTCATTCCACAGTAATTAAATAAAATGCCTATCCTGAATTAGATAATGCATGATGGAGACGCAGATTCTAAAATAGATCTAGAGGGAAAGTTCTCAACAAAGGGGAGGCCTGGAGACGGGAGAAGGAGGTTGCTGGCAAGTAAGGATCATACAGGGAAACCTTATTTAAAGTAGGGCTGTCATCTACTCCCTGGGCAGGACTACTTTTGTTCAACCTGAATTGCAGTTCATTCTTTCCTTCCAGACCAATTTCCCAAGCCCATCATCTGTACGAAGGTTGACCGCTACACTCTTCCAGGATGTAATGTTAACATATTCTGCCATGGATGGCTGCAGGATTTGATATTCATGTTATTTAAAGAGGGATATGCTGAGACTATGGAATGCCAAGTCCCAACAGGGACAGTGGCCATATTCTCCATTGACAACATGACTCCTGAGAACGAAAGGGTTTACATTTGCTGCACTCATATCCAGATGTTCCCCACCCTGTGGTCAAAGCCCAGCAACCCCCTGAAGCTAGTTATAGCAGGTGGGTGTGTCTATGGCTGCTGGGACCTGGCGTTGTTGTTCCAGGGATTATGGCTGGGTGATCCTGAGTTTCTGATTTTATTTTCCTCAGCCAATTCCTAGGCTCTGCAAGGTCCATGAGCTAGAGCCATTGAACTTTTACTGAGATAAGAATTAGAATCATACATGCAAGGCAGGTGTGTGGGATCCAATCACTTGGCTAGTGAATGACCCCAGCCAAATGTCCAGCATCTTCAGCTTATCACAGTTTTTTGGGTTTTGACTTGTTGACTATCATGCATTCATTCATTCAGTCAACTAATATTTATTGAGAACCTAATTGTGTCAGGCACTGCCAACAGTCTTAGAAATGTAATTAAATTTTTTAGATGTATTTTATTTATGATTATTATTTTTAAGTGTAAAAAATGGAGTCCTGAGACAGCACTGTGGGATAAAGCACTGGACCGCATGGTCAGTTTGAACCACAAGGTCAGTGGTTCAAACTCATCAGCCACTCTTTGGAAACTCTAACTAAGGTCACTATGAGTCGGACTGACTCAAAGGCACCAAACAACAACAACATCAGTGATACAAACAAAAAGCAAAGAAAGTGATAGTTCATATTTTAGACATTGTCTTATAAATTACTTTAGTGTATAAATCCATGGTATGGCACTATAGGATCAGCACTGGATTACGAACCACAAGATCAGTAGTTCAAGCCCACCAGCTGCTCCTCAGAAACATGGTCGGTATGGGTCAGAACCAACTCAGTGGCACTTAACAACAAACAACAACACAGATCCATTAAGACATTACCAATCTTTAAACACAGCAGAAAGCTTCTCAAAGTATCCCAAGTGCCAGACACACAGTCCAGTCCCATCTCTGTCACTCCATGGCCTGGATGCTCCTAAGTGAAATTGGCTACATTTACTTTAGTCCCTCCACTGGGCTAAATAGACTTACGGGCAACTGTAGTTGCTACAGAAATACCCTGGGGTAAATACCCTGGTGTCTAGTTCCACATTTGACACTCTCTCCCTGTGTGAGTCACTTTATCTCAGCAATAAAATGGGAGTCCTGGTGTGGTTCTGTAGGATAAGCACCGGACTGCTACCTGAAAAGCCTGCAGTTCAAACCCACCAGCCACTCCAGCCCATAGTGACCCTGTATAGCATTCACGAGGAGCGGCTGGTGAGCTTGAACCGCCGACCTTGTGGTTCAAACGAACCTGGCAGTCCAGCGCATTAACCTACAGCGCCACACCAGGTCTCCTTAATAAATGGTAGATATTAATTCTGTTGTTGTTGTTAAGTGCCATTGAGTTGGTTCCAACCTATAGTGACCCTGAACAGGGTTTCCGAGGCTGTAAATCTTTACGGGAGCAGAAACCCTCATCTTTCTCCCGCGGAGCAGCTGGTAGTTTTGAACTGCTGACCTTGCGGTTTGCAGCCCAATTCATAACCACTACACTACCAGAGCTCCTTATTAATTCTATTAGCATAGCCTTTTATAGAGGACCAAAGAACAAAGGACTGTGCTTGAACCATGTGCCTGTTGTATACCTGGTAGCACAGTAAGAGCCTTAGTGGCACAGTGAGTTAAGTGTTGGGCTTCTAACTGCAAGGTAGGGGGTTCAAACCCACCAGACACTCTATATGTGAAAAACAAAACTTCTTTTGCAAAGATTTACCCTCTTGGAAACCCTGTGGAACTACTCTGTCCTATAGGGTCACTATGAATCTGAATAGATTCAACAGCAGTGGGTTAGTGGGTCATGCACCTCTCCTTCCAGCATAGATTCCACTAACTCACACTTCCATAGTTACCTATTCATCAGAATTCTCCACTAGGTCATGAACTTTTTTCTGGCAGGGGCTGTGTCTTTTTTCCTTGTGTAATACTACATCTACATGATGTCTGACACATTCTAAACGTGTCATAAGTGAGCCTAAGACTGAACTGAATCTTCTATAATGAATGAGTGAAAATATCTGGGCTTGGAGTGGGGTTAAGAAGGGCTGGTCTGGTTATGAGAATTGTCCCCTGTTTCATAGTACAAACTCTTTGGAGGAACAATCCATGGAAATCAAGGTGTGACCCTGTTAACAGAGATGTCCTTGGGTTGCGGACTTACTGGCCAAACCTTCCTTACTGACTTTCTCTAATATTATGTTGAAAGTAGGGTTTTTTGTGGAGTTCGTATGCTAAAATGTCATGCTTAATACTTCAGTAATATTCATGCTCTACAAAAGATGGAATCAAAGTCATTTTCAGAAGTTTGGCATTCTAGGACCTGAAGATACAGGGAATTGCAACTATAAATATTCCATTTGAGACACACCCCTACACATAGCTTTAGCTCAGTGGAACTGATAAAGTCTAGTGAAAGGGTATAGGCATAAATGGGACCAACCTTTGATTACCTCCTGGGGGAAGTAGGGATCCAAGGATGGGAAAATGAACAGAGGGTGAAACTTACTTGTTCAAAGAGACTAGGAAAATGAAAATGAAAGATAATGGGGAAGAATCATCCCATCCCTAATTTGATAGTCTCTTCCTTTTCCAGGACTTTATCCCAAACCAACTCTGACAGCCTATCCCGGGCTTATCATAGCACCTGGAGAAAGCTTGAATCTCAGGTGCCAAGGACCAATCTATGGAATGACCTTTGCTTTGATGAGGCTTGAAGACTTGGAGAAGTCCTTTTACCACAAGAAGCCAATTAAAAATGAGGCATATTTCTTCTTCCGGACTTTGAAAATCAATGATGCTGGGCATTACCTCTGTTTTTACTATGATGGGTCATATAGGGGTTCACTCCTTAGTGATATCCTGAAAATCTGGGTAACTGGTAAGAAAGGGTGATATCAAAGATCTTACGTTAGTGACTGAGGATATAAGACTCCCTCTGGGCCCCTGGAAACCTAATCATGCCGACAGGACTAACAGTAGGGAAGGGTACAGACGCTCTCCAACAGGGTTTAAACAGAGATGTTCCAAGGGAAGACAAGTGGAAGGCATTTAAAAGAGGAGGAAAAAGAACCTTAAGTAGTGGGAATGGGAAATCAAACCATTAGTTCTTTCTAGTTCTGATCTTGTCCTAGACACTCTACCCAAGCCCTAGCTACTTCTTCAGTCCAGTCTAGTGGTTCAAATGGGTCAGAATATGTGCCTATGGTACCAAGGACCAGTGGGTAGAGTGGGACTAGCACTCTATAAGAAAGAGGAAGACATCCCACTTCAGTTTTTGAATCACCAACATTAATGGCAGTAATTCATTCTTCTTCAACAATGTGACCTATAGTGATGCTGGCATTATAGCTGCCACTCTCCTCACTGGAAGAGCTCCAATAGGAAGTCAGCATACCATACTGTGGAGCTTGTGGTTGTAGGCAAGTACTAACAACTATTGTTTGCCTTTATTAAAACTACGCATGGGTCATCAAGAGTCAGAATTGACTTGATGACAACTAGTTAACTGGTTAATAAGTAATTAGTGATCCTGTCTCCTCTCAGAGACATTATATCAGGAAAAAAAAAAAAAATACCCACAAAATTTAGGAATTGTCTCTCCCAGGACTGTTCCTCAAGCCCTACCTCTAAACATGGTCCATCCCCATTGTGATCCCTGGAAAAGCCATTTTTCTTGAGAGTCAGGGGAAGCTTAAAGGTATGAGGTCTTCCTGATTGAAGGTAGGAATGCAGGAGTCCTAAGAACACAAATAAGTGAGCAGCTAGACTCTGTTGTTGTTGTTGTTGTTGTTAAGTACCGTGGAGTTGGTTCTGACTCATAGTGACCCTGCACAGGGTTTTTCCAAGGCTGCAAATCTTTACGGGAGTAGAATGCTTCATCTTTCTCCTACAGAACAGCTGATATGCCGTCAGAGTTGGAAGTCACAGATTTAGTGGAAATTGCAAGGAAGAGAAGACCAAATAGGGAGCCTAGTAGAAACACTGGATAGGGTGAGGAGTACCAGGTTCAAAGTCACTTCTAATACTAGTTTCTGGATTGGTTCCAGATAAACCTCCCAAACCATCCCTGTCAGCTTGGCCCAGCACCATGTTCAAGCTGGGAAAAGCCATCACCCTTCAGTGCCGAGTGCCTCATCCAGTACTTGAATTTTCCCTGGAACGGGAAGAGAGAACAATATCCCCCAAATTCTCAGTGGATGGAGACTTCATCATCAGTAATGTCGAAGGGAAAGGCATAGGAACCTACAGTTGCAGCTACCGCATACAGGCATACCCTGACATCTGGTCACATCACAGCGAGCCTCTGAAGCTGATGGGGCCAGCAGGTGAGAGGACAAATCTTCATAAGGGCCCCTTCCATGACTTTCGTCATGACACTCCTGGGATCCCTGAGCAATTTCCAGAAAGATATAGACAGAGAGAAGTCAGGGACTTGAAAATCAGGGCCCTTGGGTTTGGGCACCCTTACCTTGGGGTGGTGAAGAGGACTCTTACAATATAACTCAATGGCAGTGAGAAAGATATTTTCAAGGCTCCCATACTCCAAGAAAAGGAAAACCACTTGCGCCTCACCTTCCCAATATAAGCTCTTTGAGTAATCAATCAGCTTCCCCTTCCACCCCACACCCCAACCCCATGAATGTATTCACCTGTCCCTGTTCCTATCAAGGCTTCTGACCTTCTCTGGCTACAGGCTATCTCACCTGGAATTATGTTCTGAATGAAGTTTTCAAGTTATCCCTAATCGTACAGCTTGCTGCCTTGCTGTTGGTAGTGCTGTGGATAAGGTGGAAGTGTCGGAGACTCAGAATCAGGTAACTATCTTGTCCCAGCCCCATTCTCCTCAACTTAGCTGAGTCTAGACTCCCCAGAGTCTCAGGAATGGTCAATACCCAGTAGAGACAAGTCACAGGCGTACACTCTATATCCCCCACATTCTGGAATAAGGGTCAAGCTTTTCTCACCCCAACTGTTTCTCTTTCACCCCACAGAGGAGTCAGCACCTAGACCAGAGAGTAGAGAAATGAGGAATTCTCAGAGGCTAGAGAAGTAATCAGAAGCTCATTCACTTGTCCTCCCCCACCCCCAGGAGAGTCCCAAATCTCCAAACCACCCTGCCACCCTGCCCCTCACAGAAGATTGGTATCTACCCCATAACCTTATTTTTCTCTTGTAAGAAGTCATGTTGTTTTGTATCTCATGTTGTTATCCAACCTTCACCCCAACTTTTTACCTCAACCCCTCGTTCTCAAGGACTAGAGAGCCTATGACCCATCCTCTCTCTGGCATTCTGGGGATATGATCTTAACCTGGATAAGCATATAATCATGCAATGAATCAGCCCAGGGAATCAGGCTCACACTATGACAAGCAAACAGATTCTCCTGCCATTCATTCCTTATGATCCTTCAGAGTCCCTTGGGCTATGCCCATCTCTTCCTGATCCCTGTGGCCTCTGCTCAGACCACTCTGCTTGGCATTGAGAAAATAAATGACATCTCCTAAACTGTTTCAGTGTGGTGCAGTAGGATAAGCACTAAACAGCCAATCAAAAGGTCGGTAGTTCAAACCACCTCAGAAACCCTGTACAAGGTTGCTGTGAGTCGGAACCGACTCAATGGCACTAAACAACAACAACAAGACTGGTGGGGGCTTCAGCTCCTGAATGTCTTGCCCACTTCCCCCACCTTATGCTCTTGGCTGTACCTCTCACCTGTAGGCCTTTGTGTGTGCGTGAGTATTAAGTTCACAATGGATGACAATGACTATATGTATCTGTGCTTTCCACTGAAGGACAGAGTGTTTGGGTCACAGAAGGGGAGCTACCTAAACCTTCTGCAGAACCACCACCCCCTTGAGTTTTCAAGAAGTATCAGTGAAGTTCAGGCTCTAGTTCTTCCTAGAATCTGCCCCGATTCACACAACACAGTGGGGGTAACTTCCAAGCTAGAGTTTAAAAAAAAAATGTAGTTTCATGTGCTCCACCCCAGCCCAGGACTACTGCATCAAAGAATGAGAGCAGAAATCAGATTTCAGCGAAAGAAACTTAAAAAGTATGTTTACCTGACCAGGAAGAAGAGTCAATGTTTTCTAAGTAAAAACTGTGATATGGATTTGACTTAATGTCATCTAATATTACAGGGCCCATAACCCAAAGCTGCTGCACATTTCTAGTCATAATCTGGGGTGGGGGGGATCCCACTCTCTGACAAGCATAGTTCAGCACTGACAACCCTCCAGTAATTCACAGCGGCTGCCTAGGCAACCCTTCCATAACAAAGGCAACTGAAGCAGGTTGGTCTGAGGACCTATACTGCCACAATAACAACTGCTTCCAAACTTAAATGTGATGATGGAGAAATTTTCCTTCCACCCCCACACCCACCACCCAAAGCTGCCGATCACACTGAACTCCAAGGGTTCTGAAAGCTAGAGACACAAAAGCATTTTCACATCTGACATCTCAATTTCAGCAACAGCCTAATCAGGGGGGCATGAGGAACTGACATATGATATAGGTTGGGGAGGGGGAAGGGGTGGGGGGCACGTGGATTCTGAAAGAGCAAGAGGGTAGAAGGTGGTAAGGCCCTCCAAAGGAAAAGTCATCGATGTCAGAAAAGATTATAACCCATTATCCTGGCCACATCCAATCCCTATTGGGTGGTGAGTAAGCCAATGACATAAATTGCCGCCCCCTTCTCTCCACCCTCCCCCTAATCCCAGCAACTCCTCTCATCTCTTTTCTGGTCTCACTAGAGAAGCCTGGTTGCTGGGAACAGCTCAAGGGGTCACCATGCTCTTCATAGTCACGGCCCTTCTCTGCTGTGGTGAGTACAATGGGGTGGGGAAGGGGCCTGGGCAGAAGGCCGGGGTGAAGTCCTGTGGGGGAGGGGGCAGAGCCTGGCAGCAATTTCTTTTGCAGAACTGTGCACTGGGGTATTGACAGAAGAGACTGGTGAGTTTTTCCTGCTCCAGACTGGGACATTCCTCTCTGGAGATCCGAAATAACTTTAGTGTCAGTGTCACTGGCCAGGGAGTGACTGGTGGGGAGGGAAGGACAGTCAGGAAGGGGCACTTGCTAAAGCTGCTGGCAAAATTCAGCTTCCAACTCTTTTTTTCTGCCTGCAAAAATTTCCCAAAGCTTCTGCACTTTTCTGAGGCTTAGTTGAGACATCAGCTTCATTTTTCCCAGCACCTGCGGAAGGAGAGAAAGGTTTGTTTGGATTGGGGGTGAAAGAGGAGGTAGGTAGTGTGATTTGGGTAGGGGGTTCAAAGACAAGAAAGACAGCTTCATAGAAAGGGGGAGAGGAAAGAAAGAGGGGTGGCTTCATTAACTCTGTTGTTTCTAGAAATAATCATGCCAACCCCTAAGCCTGAGCTGTGGGCAGAAACCAACTTTCCTCTGGCCCCGTGGAAGAACTTAACCCTCTGGTGCAGAAGCCCTTCTGGCTCAACTAAAGAGTTTGTGTTGCTGAAGGACAGGACCGGGTGGATTGCAACTCGCCCAGCTTCAGAGCTGGTCCGGGCTGCCTTCCCCCTTGGCGCCCTGACCCAGAGCCACCTCGGGAGTTACCACTGCCATTCCTGGGAAGAGATGGCTGTGTCAGAGCCCAGTGAGGCACTTGAGTTGGTGGGGACAGGTAAGAAAAGGTACAAATTCCTACCGGAGTGAGTTGCGGTGTCTTGGGACTCTGATACTGTTCTTTGAGGACCAGGGAAATGCACAAACTCCAGGGACCCTTGTGCTGCACATAGAAAAGGAAGGGACAGAGGGGAGGGGGTTATGTTGGGAGCAGGGAAGAGAGTGAGCTGAAACTGTCTGGAAGAGTCATAGCGGCCCAGGATGGATGTCTGCCCTGCTTCCCCACTGACAAAGTAACTGCTAGTGTCCCATGGGGGTACTTCTAAACTTCTGAGTCCCTTTTCCCCCCATTTTCCTTTTCAGACATTCTCCCTAAACCTGTCATTTCTGCTCCACCCCCAATCTGGGGCCAAGAACTAAAAATTCGGTGCAAAGGATGGCTGGCAGGCATGGGGTTTGCTCTGTATAAGGAAGGAGAGCAGGAACCTGTCCAGCAACTTGGTGCCGTTGGGAAAGAAGCCTTCTTTACAATCCAAAGAATGGAGGATAAAGACGAAGGCAATTATAGCTGCCGCACTCACACTGAAAAGCGCCCCTTCAAGTGGTCTGAGCCCAGTGAGCCTCTGGAGCTTGTCATAAAAGGTAGAGCTGAAAAGAGTATGTGAGGGAGGAAGGGGCGGTAAAGCTTGGTATCAGACACTCCTCTCCCAACAGCAAACTTTGCTGCTGGTCCTAAGAGCCTGTGTCCAATCTTAGAGCTAAGCAGGCGTGGCTCTGGGAGTGCCAGGGCCTCTGGCTGCATGATATTAATAGCCATAATTGTTATTAATAGCTTGGGTTTGTGGAGAGTGATTTAATTTTTCTAATTATTTTCACATCAATTGTCTCATTTCGCGATGCAACAAATCTTCAAGGGAGGTGGAGCAGGTACTAGTTTCCCTTTTTGTCCAAATGGGCCAACTGAGGCTCAGAGAACCAGCAGAGCTCAATGACAATCCACCCTGTTAGTTAGCCTCCACTGCTTGCATTGACAGCAGTGAAGAATCCTTGAGGGGGGATGGAAGCGGGAGACGAGGGATCCCTGTTTGAGAAGACCATCTGCCAGGTGGAGTTATCTCCATTTTTAGTGTACCTACTTTTAATGACATAGTAGAGAAAGTAAAGCAGTTTCACAGATTCAGTATTTATATTTGCTTTCTTTTTATCCCCTGAATGTAGTTTTGTTTTGTGTTTTTGTGTTTTGCTTACTAGAATTGTACCCCAAACCTTTCTTCAAAACATGGGCCAGCCCAGTGGTCGCCCTTGGTGCCCGAGTGACTTTCAATTGTTCGACTCTCCACCAGCACATGAACTTTATTCTTTACAAAGATGGAAGTGAAATTGCATCCAGTGATGGGTCTTGGGCAAGTCCCAGGGCCAGTGCAGCTCACTTCGTGATTGTTTCAGTTGGCATTGGTGATGGAGGAAATTACACCTGCCGATATCATGATTTTGCTATTTGGTCTGAGCCCAGTGACCCTGTGGAACTTGTGGTGACAGGTCAGAAGGACTGGGAGGGAGTGTGTGGGTGGGTGGATCCAGGTATAGTTGGTGCTTACCTTGGGTCAGTGGGTAGAGGAGTTATCAGCGGGAAAGGGAGAAGTGCTCCTTTTGGAATGAGAAGACACCCAGAAAAGGCTTAGGACGGTGCCTGCCACATGGGAAACAGGTCACTCGAGGCCGCTGCTTATATTATTACTACAAGAAGGACATGGGGGAGAGAGAGTCAGTCACAGGGGGAAGCAGAGAGGAAGATGGGGGTGTCCAATCCCAAGAACCAAGCTCCAGATGCCCTATTTCTGAAATCCTTTTGTGACTTGCCCCTGAGCTTTAGGATCAATGTCCACTTTTTCTTTAGCTGGGTTGTCAGAGACTGGTGGGCAGAATGGCTCTCAGAGAAAGGGAGAAGGCCTTGAGCTGTCAGCTGCATATTATGCAGCCATTACAAATGATAGCTTTCAAAGGCTGTTTGAAGTCCTAGGAAAATGTTTACAATATAGAGTTAAGTTAACAAAATCAGACTACTCAACTGCGCATGCAGTAGGATCCCAGTTATGGAAATAGTTCTCACTGCATCCATTGAAAAAATAAATAGAAAAGAAATATGTAAAATAGACTAAGACTGATTATCTTCGAGTGTTCTGTAGAATTGTATTTTCTTCTTTAGATTTTCTGTTTATTTTCTAATTTTCTACAATGAAAATTTATTGTTATTTATAGGTGCATGTGGGGTGGGGGCATGGAGGGCAGCCATGTTGTGGTCTCTTTAATTTCAGAATTCTACCCCAAACCCACTCTCCTGGCACAGCCAGGTCCTGTGGTGCTTCCTGGGAAGAATGTGACCCTGCACTGCCAAGGGGCCTTCCAGGGTATGAGGTTTGCCCTCCTGCAGGAGGGAACCCAGGATCCCTTACAGTTCCAGAGTGCTTCAGGGAACTCAGTTGACTTCCTCCTCTACACTGTTGGAGCAGAGGACTTTGGGAACTACAGCTGTGTCTATTATGAGACGACAATGTCAAACAGGGGATCATATCTCAGCATGCCCATGATGATTTGGGTGACTGGTAAGGAGAGACCAAATCTGGGTCTAGGATAGTTACAATTGTAGTAGGGGTTAAGGAAAATGACTCTTCCTGGATGACTAGAGTAGGCCATGGAGGGCAACTACTATATCCAGAAGGAGAAAGATAAAGGGTTAATTTAGGGGATATTAAGTTCTGATACTCACCACTTTATATCTTTGGCCTCTTCCTAGACACATTCCCCAAGCCCTGGCTATATGCTGAACCCAGTTCTGTGATTGCCATGGGGCAAAATGTTACTCTCTGGTGCCAAGGGCCAGTCCATGGAGTAGGGTACATTCTGCACAAGGAAGGAGCAACCACTTCACGGATGCTCTGGGGATCCACCAGTGATGATGGAGCATTCCTCATCACCAATATATCTGGTGCTAGCATTGGGCGTTATAGCTGCTGCTACCACCCTGACTGGACCAACCTTATCAAGATACAGCCTAGCAACACCCTGGAACTCATAGTCACAGGTAAGGGGAGGATGCTCTGGAGTGGGGATAAGAGTGTAACAATAAGGAATAGTCTGGATCATGGGAGATGGTTTTCAAAGATCTCTAAAAGGACAAAATAGTAGTCTTTCGTTTAGTTTTTTTTTTTTTTTTTTATGTACAGAACGGAGATTTTAGGGTTAATGCAATTGAAAATGGCTTCTACTCTTTGACTAGCATTCATTTCTTCCAGGTTTGCTCCCCAAACCCACCCTGTTAGCGCAGTCTGGTCAGATGATGGCTCCTGGAGAAAACATGACTCTTCAATGCCAGGGGGAACTTCCAGACTCAACATTTGTTCTGGTGAAGGAGGGGGCTCAACAGCCCTTATATCAACAGAGGCCAAGTGGGTACAGGGCTGACTTCTGGATGCCAGCGATGAGAAGTGAAGATTCTGGAATCTATAGCTGTATTTATTATCTGGACTCTGCTCCCTTTGCAGCTTCCAATCACAGTGACCCTCTGGAGATCTGGGTGACTGGTAAGGTCTTAGGTACATCAGTAAGCATCTAAATTTTGTAGCTTTTTGTACTGGTGTGGGACTGTGGTGGTGGTGGTGGTTATGTGCCGTGGAGTCGGTTCTGACTCATAGTGACCCTGTACAGGGTTTCCGAGGCTGTAAATCTTTACGGGAGCAGAAAGCCTCATCTTTCTCCACAGAATAGCTGGTAGTTTCGAACTGCTGACCTTGCGGTTTGCAGCCCAATAGCATAACCACCATGCTACCAGAGGATCAGCTAAATGCAAGGCTGGTAGTTTAAAATCCATCTGCTGCTCCATGGAAAATCTGTGGTGTTGTTAAGTGCCATTGAGTTGCTTTGGACTCATAGTAGCCCTGTATGGGGTTTCTGAGGAGTGGCTAGTGAGCTTGAACCCCAGACCTTGCAGTTCAAACTGACCTTACAGTTCACACTAGGACCCGATACAGGGTTGCTATGAGTTGGAACCAACTCCGTGACACTACGACAATAAGGGGGAAAGGACTGGGTTTAGGGTTACCACTAACTCTGTGTCCTGATTGATTGCAGATAAACCCCCTAAACCTTCTCTGTCAGCATGGCCCAGCACTGTGTTCAAACTAGGGAAGGATATCACTCTTCAGTGCCGAGGACCCCTGCCAGGTGTTGAATTTGTCCTGGAACATGTTGGAGAGGAAGCACCCCAGCAATTCTCAGAGGATGGAGACTTTGTCATCAATAATGTAGAAGGGAAAGGTATTGGGAACTACAGCTGCAGCTACCGCCTCCAGGCTAACCCTGACATCTGGTCAGAGCCTAGTGATTCCCTGGAGCTGGTGGGAGAAGCAGGTAAGAGGATAATTCCCCCATGGACCTGTCATGACACACTTGGGATCTCAGAAACAATCCCCATAGGGACTGCTCAAACTTATGGAAAGGTGGAGTTTTGGAGTCAGAGTTCTCAAGTTCGGTCATCTTTCTCCTAAGGGTGACAAAGAAGTGGGACATCACATTTACTAAGAGAGTGAGCAGGATGCTTTCAAGGAAACTTCTTCTTAAGAAAAGGAGCACTGCCACTGTCTCAACACAAGGCTTCCAAGTGAACCTTGGCAGAAACCAGAATAAGGGGGCAATCAGAAATCATACATTAACCTCCATGGCCTTTGTTTCTGTTCTTTGTTACCCACAGGCCCAGTTGCTCAGGAGTGCACTGTGGGTAACATTGTGCGAAGTACCCTGATTGTGGTGGTTGTCATAGCCTTGGGAGTGGTGCTAGCCATCGAGTGGAAGAAGTGGCCCCGACTCCGAACTAGGTAAATGCTATATCCTAGCCTTCTGTGAGCCCAGAGCTGCTGAAAATGCAATGGTCCAAATGTTGCCAATATCATCTAAGTCCTACAGTACAACCTTTTTTCAAATTGGTAGTTTTGGTTCTTTCCTTAGTCATGTCTTTTTCTCTACACAGGGATTCAGACACAGATGGAAGAGACCAGTCCATAGCCCTTGAAGAGTGCAACCAAGAAATAGAACTAGGCACTACCACCAACTCTCCCTCATCAATCTCTCAAGGAACCTCAGAGGAACTGACAGTCCCAATATAATAACCTCCTCATTTACAGAACTTTCCTCTCTTCTCTTTTACCCTCAGAAATCTACTGGTTTCCCTGGGAGACAGCCCCATCTATCGCTCCTTGGTCTCTAATCATCTGAGTTGGGTCAAAGGGATTCTAGGAGATGCTGGCTCACTCAGGGTGAGATGTTTCCTGAAGAGAGGTTCCCTACCTTATAACTTCTCACTGTACTGATTTACTGGTGCATGATATTCTATTAAAAATGTATTCTTCTGAATAAAGAGAGTATTCACTATTTAACTGCAAAAACGATGTCAGTGGTCTTCCATTGGTCTATTATCTACCTACAACTTAGCAAGACTGGTGAGATGGAGCTAATTTTCATGGAAGAATAAGAAAACACAGGGCTAGTGGTGCAATGAAAGGAACTCAACGGTGATCACTGGGGGCAGGAAAAGGGAGAAATCCAAAATAGCTACTTTCCAATTTGGTTTGAGACATGGTCACTGGACAGAGTTCCTGCTGTACTTCATATCATTATTGAATGAATGAATACATAAATGAACAAATGAGCAGCAATATTCTTTCCAAGTTGAGCCTGAGGAGTGCAAACATTGAAGTTGTATGCTCTTCTTCATATTACTTTTAAGTCCAGAGTATACCTGATTTAAAACATCAGTAGTATCCCTCTGTGAAACTTTGAAACTGGCAAAGTTGTGCTTATGGCCTTTACCTAGAAATTGCCAAGTGGGGTGGAGCAAACCCACTATTGTCGAGCTGATTCTGACTCATAGTGACTCTAGCTGACAGAGTAGAACTGCTCCATAGGGTTTCCAAGACTATAAATCTTGAAGTCATTTTCCTGCAGAGTAGCTGGTGGGTTCAAACATCTGACCTTTTGGCTAATAGTTGAGTTCTTAGCCACTGCACCACCAGATCTAGTAATTACAGGTGATCTATATTTAAAAGCCAAGTCATTTGTCCTTCCTTAAAGGGATGGCTTCTTGTGGTGGGGTCTCAGGGGATGAGTAACCAGGTGAGGTGGTGGGCAATTAGAACAGGGGACCTTTAGTGTACCTTCCTAGCCCCTGAATTTTCACCCTCGATCGTCAGACCTCTTGCCCCATAGATGGAAATTCAGTCCACGTTAGGGAAGCTGCACTGAGGATGGAGACTTGTCCAAGGTCTCAGAAGAATTGAACGATAGATACTAGAAGAGGTTATAATCTCATCAAACCTGACCCTAAATTTCTTTGTCTTCCACACTATTTAATTTTAAGTTAGCATTGTTCAAATAAGAAAGTTACAGGGCTGCCACACACAGTGAATTATTTATCTCCAGCTATAATTAATTTCCAGAGCAGCTCCTGTATTCTGGCATTAGGAAGCTTATTTACCCAACAACTTAATGTTTAAAACTGGATCCACTTCCCTTAATCTTCACAGAGTGAAACACTCTGAATACTACAGCATAAATCGTATTAAATTCTTTAGAATGAAGAAGTACAAAGTCCTACTTTGAGTTCCCTTTGATGAGATTTTATCAGTTGCTTATACTAATTTCTTATAGTGATTCTAAAAATTGCCTTTCAAGTGTGCCCTTTTTATTTGAATTTAGCCAAACCTAATTGCTGCTTTCTACTGAATGGCATTCTCTACTCTCAAACTCTCCATTCCTAACCTGCCATCAAGCTGTACATTCTGAACACACGAAGGAGGTCTATCCTTGCTCCTTGCTCCTTGGTTTCAGGATAGAAGTCCTTTAAACAGGTCCGATTTTCCATCCCAATAATTGGGTGTTCCAAAGTATATTTTGTCAAGGTTATTAGAAGCTACCGTGGTTGGTATATCTGTTCACCAAGAGCAGAGGGCCAAGGACTGAAATTGAAAAAAAGTCTCTCTGAGTTAGAAAAGCCAGAGGATGAGGCAAACGTGACAGAAAAAGACTCTTGTGAAATCCGGACATTGAACCTAGGGTCTCTGTGTCAAAAACCTTCAAGTAGATATCCTCATGCAATCAAGAAAAAGTCTGATAAACCTTTCAGTGAGAAACATTGTGACATTGGACTGTTAGTCGGCTTTCTAAAAACACGCACATACACCATTCTTTCACTTAGAAAACCAAGTTATACATGTTTTAGAAAGGAAAAAAAAAAAAGTTGTCAATTAATGGTGACAAAGAATGGCTTCGGAATTTAACTTTCCTACTCACTGACAGAGCTATCTCAATGAATTAAATGTCTATTTATAATGCAGAAGTCGTCACAAACTATCTCAATGAATTAAATATCTATTTATAATGCAAAGGTAGCTTGTTGCAGACCTAGCTCCACATGGTAAGTTTTTTCAACCTGGTTACTATGGGAATCAGTCCCTTTACCCCTGGCTGGCCTCTAATCATCAGCCCTGCATCAGGTAAATTCTGGGAAATGGAATTTCAATTAGGGTGGAATGGACCTCTGAAGGAGAATTTATCTCTGGGAGTCCAGGAAGCAAGGTCAAAGATCCTCTCCCCAGTTATTACCCTGATCCTTGGGTTCACATACCTTTGGTCCTAGCATTTCATAGCTACAAAGATTGTGAGACCATGTGGTCAAATCTCTCCACCCAGGCCAGGATCTGACAGAACCAATAGGTAGGCACAGAGCCTCTCCATGTATACCTACAGGGATGGGAGCTCACCACTTCATGAGACAACCCCATATTTGCCTGTATGTCATTCCTTCATACACCCTGACTCTTGTCCTGACTTAGAAGAAGTGTGTTTTTTACACACACTTGTCCTACAAAGTTTGGAAAATGTGGGCTATCCCTCCCTGAGTCAGTTGATGTCACTCCCTGGTGCTTTCAGGGGTTGGCCAAGGTTTGTTTGCAAATCTACCTCAAAGGTAACGCTTAATAATCCAGGCTTTGGAGAGGGCAGAGTTCATGACCACCTTACTTCTGCCAGCTCTTTAATATATTGTATACATCTATCTAGTCTGTTAATGTTTATTGACTGCCTTCTATGTACAGACTTTGTTCTGGGCACTGGGATAAAATGCTGAGCAAGACAGTCCCAACTTCCTTCCTTCCTAGTTTGATAAACAAACAATATAATCAATAAGTAAAGTATGTAGAATACTGTTGTTGTTGTTAAGTGCTGTTGAGTAGGTTCTGACTCACAGCAACCCTGTATAGGGTTTCCAAGGAACGGTTGGTGAGTCTGAACCTTCAACCTTGCAGTTCAAACCTTGCGGTTATGTGCTTATCTTACAGTGCCACAGCAGGACTCCAATATAGAATATTAGATGATGATAAATTATTTTAAAATAAAGCAAAGAAAGAAGGGAGGAAGGTGTGTGTGTTGGAAGAGGAGATTGTTGCAACTTAAAAAGAGCCACTGGGAAGACCTTATCAAGAATGTGATGAATGGGTAAAGATTTAAAGGACATAAAGGAACAGTCAGTGCAAATATCTGAGGGAAGTGAATTCTGGGCAGAGAAAACAGCAAGTGCAAACGCCCTGAGTTAGGAGAATGATGTGTTGGCTTAAGGAACTTCTACTGTGGCTGGAGCAAAATGAGCAAGGGGGAAAAGAAGAAAGAGATGAGGTCAGAGAGGAAGTAACGCTGGACAGACCAAGTAAGACCTTGTAGGTGCAGCTAGTGGACTTTGACTTATACTCTGAATGAGATAGGAAGCCACAGGAATGGCATGATTGGACTGGACTTCCACTGTAATTGAGCCATCCAGAATTTTGCATGGAGAACAGACTGGGAGGGGAAGCAGAGAGTCTGATAGAAGATTATTGTAAGAATTCAGGCAAGACAAGGTGGTTAGATCAGGTTGGTAACAGAAGACATGACGAGAAATGCTTGGATTATTGATATAATTTGAAGAAACAGCCAACAGGATTTGCTGACAGATTGGATGTGGGGTGTGTTCTGTAAACATTTTCATAAAAAAAGAAGTAACTGTTTCAAATATTCCCATAGTGTTTCCCTGTTTGGGTTATTTTAATCTTATCCTCCAAAGAAATGTTTTCCAATTCCTCCCAGCCCAAGTCACTGCTCTGGACAGTTTGCCCATGACAGTTTGTCCATGTAGAAACAATGTATGCAAGATACAGTCCCATACCTCTGCAATGGTCTGACCAGTACACAGTACAGTGAGACAAGAACTTTCTGGGATCTCAACGCATCATTTCTATTAATGCTATCTAAAATTACGTTTGTCCTTAGGCAGCCAGATTACAGTGTTGGCTCATAGGAAAGTTGTGGTCAGCTAAAATCCACAGCTCTTTTTCACACAAACTCTTGCCAATTCAGTCCTTTCTAGTCCTCTACTTGTGCAAGTGGTGTGTTTTGTTATTGTTTTATTGCAATTGAGTTTTCAACTCAAATGCAAGACTCAATATTTATTCCTGTTAGGTTTCATCTTCTATGTCCTAGGCTACATAGGCTATATATTATCACTTACTAAGCCCCCTTCTATATGCCACACACACTGTGATGAATCCTTTAAATTTATCTTCTCATTTACTTCTAACAACAACCCAATGAAACCCTGTGCTTTTATTAGTTCCATTTTACACATTAGCAAACAAGTTCAGAGAGGTAGTGTAGCATGATCAAGACCACCCAGCTCATAATCAAAGGCAGAGCTGGAATTGGAATTTAATTGTGCCTGATTTCAAAGTCAGACTCTCCCATACTAAACCTTAGATGACATAGTAGCTGGACCATAGCTGATATATGCAATACATATTTAGTGATTGACCACCTTCCCACCTTATTATTTTATTGAACAATCTGAGTCAGTATTGGACTCTAAGGAGTCCTGGTGTAGTGTTGTTGGTTAATGTACTGGACTGCAATGTTAGTTTGAACAGCAGGGTTAGTGGTTCAAGTTCACCAGCCGCTCCTTGGAAATCCTATGTAGGGTTGTTATAAGTAGGAACCAACTTGATGGCAGTTAACAACAACAACAATTTTAATGTTTTACAATTTATTAAGAAACTTCTTCCTTGTAAGGAATCTATGACATAGA